GGGCCATGAGGTAGTGCTCTGAAATATAAATGAAGTTCAGACAATTGTTAAAACTTAAAAAAAAACAGTAAAATAAATCGGTTTCTCATGGAAGTATTGGCCAATTTCCGATTTCCCAAAATTAAAGAAAATGGGGGCCGATAAATTGGTGCAACCCTAATATATACATATATATATATACTGTCTATTTTGGAGTTATAGCCCCACACCCACCCCCACCCCCCGAGAGAAGCTCAGAAGTAATTTCACTGACAAGACAGAGCAGCAAAGCGGAGAGGATGGGAAAAAAGCGACCGACCTCGGCAATAGCAAGTTGTGAAGTGATATGACAAATAAACTAGGGATGGGGCCGATCCGATCCAGTATCAGTATCGGCCTCCAATACCAGCATAATTTACATATCGGATTTTTCCGATCCACCTGCAGAGATTTACGATTCATGATAAATGTTGGCTTCAAAATATGGAATGGATTTCCTGAAGGGAGGCGTGTCTCATGACCTCAGAAATATAAGATCCGCCTCACATTCAGGAAATCCATTTCATAGTTTGCAGCCAGCTACAATGTGAGGACCGAGTTAGCAGCACTGTAGCTAACTGCTAACCAACTTTTCATCTAAACATGTCCGCTGTGTGGAAGTATTTTACACTAGAAACACCACAAAACAAGGCAGCAACGTGCAATGTCTGCAGAGCCATAGCACCACATTAAACCGCAGTAAAGTCAGTTTTACGTTGGACATTCGAGCTCCGTGGCTTCAACGGGGCGCTACCCTTGCTCAACCCGAAACAGGCAACTCGACCCCGGCCAGCCATGCTCAGTCTGGCCATCTCTGAGGAGGGGCAGACTGAGCGCGGCTGACCAAAATCAGAATGCCCGCTCCAGACTAAACAACAAAAAGACATCGCTGAAGCCATGGAGCTCGAATGTTTACCGAGAAGTTGCTAAACTTCATCGTAATTAATGACCAACCACTATCAGTTGTAAAAAACGAAGGATTTTGCAGCTTGATTCTTGCAGCCAAGATATAGTTTACCCTCCAGGAGATATTTATCAGTACAACAGTAGATAATCATTAAAAAAAAAAAATATATGATTTGAAAATTACAAGAAAATTATATATATTTAAAAAAACAAACAAAAAAACAAAACAGCTACATTATAAAGTGATGTAAAATACTAAAAACAGGAACATGTCTGTGTTGGTTTATTCCAACAACTTAGCAGATGTTTAAAGCTATTTAACATTATATTCTATTAAATTTGTTTATTCATTCATTTAAAAGAAACAAAAATAAACAAAACAAATTCATCAAAAAGAAAAGATTGAATGAAAAAAGTGGAGAAAGAAGAAAAAAATTCTTATATCTGCCCCTTATTTAACAAAATATAGAATAACTTTAAACAATCACTTAAATTAATCACTTTAACATCCACTTTAAAGCTAGGAATTAAAAAAAAATGTTTTGTGTTAGCAGAATTTAATTCTAACTTTAAAACTTATCCAACATTAATAAAACTTACCTCAAGTTGCCTTTTTGGACATGCATGCATATAAAATCAATGATGATTATGATATCGGAACAGGATCGGTAAGGGAAGATATCCCGATATTGGTATCGGGAGCAGATCGGAAGTAAAAACATAAAGTGGATCGGTGCATCTCTAAAATAAACACAACCTGAACTTGAACTTTAAAAGGGAGTTTTTCCTTCACACAGTTGCCACTGTGCTTGCTCAAGATGGGAGACTGCAACGAAGTGAAGATTCAATGTGTCTACTGGTTTCCTTAGATAGAGAACTTTATTAACTGGCTGAATTTTATTAACTATGTATGTAAATGTTCCTTTAAAGTGCCCTGAGACAGCTTTGTTGTGATTTGGTGGTATATACATAAACTGAATAGAACTGAATTGAAAAACATTTGAACTGATTAGAAAAAACTGCCTTTGAAAAGAAGGATCAGTACTGAGTAATGCTTCGACCTACTTTTCTTGAGTAAATGAAGCTTTTAGCTCAGCGTAAATACTGGTATTGTCAGCTACCACCAGCTAAAAGGTCAAAAGTGTTGCTATAAACACGTGTATTATGTACACAGACACACACGAGGACTGTCGTAGATCTTGTCATTATGTGGTAGGCAGGCTTTAAAAAACGGTATGTTTATAGCACAATTTAACATATTCGCTAAATGTATCCATCCACCCATTATCTTTACCTGCTTCTTCTTTTTTGGGTCACGGGGGTTGCCGGTGCCCATGTCCAGCTTTGCTAAAGGTAATTAAAGGTAATTTAAAATGCAACTAGTGTGACTTTCTAATCAAGTTCAAGTTCGAGTCAACTTTACTGTCATTTCCATCACATGTGGTTTATGAGGTGGAACAAAATAATGTACACAGGGTCCCAGTTTCACCCAACAATAGCAAAATATGAAGTATAAAACGAAACAGTAAATAAGGATCTAAGATATACACTAAGATATACGCTAAACACAAGTAATGTAACGGCATAACAACAGCAGCCTGAACATGAGTCTTTGGTGAGCAGATAGGTACGAATGAATACAGCAGCATGAGATCAGCAGCATAGATAATCAGCAGCACAGATAAGCCACATATCATCAATTAAAGTGGCATTACAGTGACTTTTTTTTTTCTCTCCTTACAGTGATTATCCTGGTTAGGGATTCATGAGTCTAACAGCCTCAGGGTAGAAGCTGTTCCTCAGTCTAGTAGTTCTGCACTTAATGCTTTGCAATCTTCTGCCTGAAGGAAGTGGGGCAAAAATTGTGTGTGTTGGGTGACTGGTGTCCTTCGTGATTCATAGTGGTGTGTTTAAAGGAATACTCTAGCCATTTTGAAGTCAGGCACAATGGAAATATTAATATTTAACCACATCTATAAAGCCTTTTGTACAATCTCAGTTTAAAGAAATTAGTTTAATTCCAACAGGACTGATGAGCTGATGAGTAGTCTGATCACAACAAAGATCAAAGTGCAATGCTACCACCGTAAAACAGCTTCAATCTAGCCACAAAATAAATCACAGCAATTCAAACAATATTATTTTATACACTTTTACACCACTATCAAGTATGCAAAACAACTGTTTGCATTGAATTATCTTGTTATTTTCAAATGCAAAAAGCAGCAGCAATCTGTAGCACTTCCTGTACAGCCTGGACACTTCTAGTAGGAACTCCATATTTCTCCAGGAATAAACAAGTAATACAAAACTAACTGGCAGCACGGTGGCACAACTGGTAGAGCTGCTGCCTCTCAGCGAGCAGGTCCCTGGTTCAAACCCCGGTCCAGGGGCCTTTCTGGGTGGAGTTTGCATGTTCTCTTCGTGCATGTGTGGGTTTTCTCCGGGTACTCCGGTTTCCTCCCACAGACCAAAAACATGCATGTTAGGCTGATTGGTAACTCTAAAAATTGTCCCTAGGTGTGAATGAGAGAGTGAATAGTTGTTTGTCTTGTTTGTCTCTATGTGTCCCTGTGATGGACTTGCGACCCGTCCAGGGTGTACCCCGCCCCTCGCACAGTGATTGCTGGACATGGGCACCAGCGACCCCCGTGACCCAAAATGGAATAAGCGGGTAAAGAAAATGGATGGATGGACAAAACTAACTGTTGACAAACACAGACTTGTTGAAAACAGTGTTTATAAGACTGACAGGCGATTTTAGGATATCTTATCATGAACCTTGTGATCTGTGGAGATAAATAGTCTCTCTGCTCTGTGATCTTCTCCAAAAACTTAAAATAAAACAGAGGGAGGAGGAACTATTTACCGGAGCAGCTCACTAACATGACGTAATGACATGGCTCGCAGGCTGGGGAAAACAAAGCCTGTTCTTAACTTTATTGTTAAAACAAAATAATTCGAGGAAATTTTAAAAACCAGTTCTAGTACCAGCACCATATTAGTAAAACATATATAATCCTCTAAACTGAGGCTGTTCCAGGACCTATCTATATTTGTTTAGATATGCTTCATCATTTCAACATAAAACCCCCACTTTAAAAATACTAAAATATCCTTTTAGGTTTTCCCCAAAAAAGGGAATATACATGTAAAGTAACATCTTCCTTGTTACTGTCTCTAAGCAAGTAGTGTGTAAGCAATGCATTCAATTCATTTGGTACTCTAAATCAAAAGCTTATGACTCAGAGTGATAAATTTGTATAACTGTTTCAAATACGACCCTTTAAACTTGTATTTTCATGGGCAATATTCCCAAAAACTGATTGAAGAGTGAGAATCAACAGCAATCAACACACCTCCATTTATAAAGTTATGATAAAGTTTTGTTGTTATGATAAAGTGTTTCTGCAGTGCAGTTGTTGACTTTGATTTAATTTCCATTTCTCCTGAAATGATAACTCATCATGAGTTTAAAGCTGTAACGAGGTGTTATTTATCCTCTGATAAAATCAGATGGAATGGCAGAGAGTGTCTCACCTGGGTTTGCTGTGCGGGTCTTTTGATCCAAACCAGCCCTTGTGCTTCTCCTGAGAGGCAGCACAGACCTGTTCAGACTCGTCCTTCCACTGACTCGGACCCTTCCCTCCTGATTCACTCCGCCCATGTGAGAACAAGTTCTTCCTCTGCTTTCTCCCCAGACTCTCTGACTCCTCCTTTGAAGTAGAAGACATGTAGGCAGCTTTCAGTTCCAGCCGCTCCTCTTTCTCACCCTGCATGGAGCCACTTTTCTCCAGGGCTGCTGCTATAGCAGCTTTTTCCTCCTTGTCAGGCCTGTCAAACGACCAGCGCCGCCCGTCTCCCACAAGGCCTTTAGGGAGGTTGTGAGGCGAGGTGCCTAGGTTCTGTAAAGAGACAGAGAGGGGCAAAGACTTCTGCAACAATCCCAGGCCTAAAGAACCCGCAGGGTTTCCTAAGCCTCGGTCTTGGAACTGGATGTTGTCAGCATGGCTTCCATTAATGCAAAAAGCAGGCTGATGTACTGTGATGGTGACTTCACCAGCCTCGTGACCAAACTCACATTTCAAAGAGGATGATTGGGGCGACGTGTTGGTCGTGTGCTCTGCAGGAAAAAAAGCAAGAAGATATGATGAGAAATAAATAAAGAATATAACCAAACTTTAAGGCTACAGTGAATTATGATGTCAAGCTTTCTCATTAGGAAATAAATGGTAAATGGACTGTACTTATATAGCGCCTTTCTCTTATTTCAAGATACTCAATACAATCTGGGCCTCATTTACCCATTCATACAGCACTCTACTAGATCTCTACAAAGCTAATTGAACAAATCATTCTAATGAGACTAATCAGTGCTTTAGATCACATTCATACACCGATGGGACACACATCAGAGGATATGAGGGGTTCAGTGTCTTGCCCAGGGACACTTCGGCATGTGACTGCTGGTGGATTTGAACCCCCAACTCTCGCATTGGAGGATGACTGCTCTAACCACTCAGCCACAGCCGCCCCTAACAAAAGAAATTGTCTTCACAAGACATCTACTTTTATGTAGAGATAAAAACATTTTAATAAAGCAACTTTCAGTGTCTGCTGAACTTTTTCTTTGCACAATTAAGATTGTGTTTTGAAGACCAAACAGACAGACGAACAGACAGACGGACAGACGGAGACAGAACAATGGACGGATGGATGGATGGACGGATGGACAGATGGATAGCAGAAAAGGAAGCGCTGCTCCCGGCTTAAGAAGTGAGGACGTCGGGTGGGGGTTCTGGTGAGGCTATGTGCTAATGCTGAAGCTGGAAATCTCCTGATACCATCACTCTTTCTGTCGAACATCTACTTGTTGGACAACAAGATGGATTTGATTTGTCTGAGAGTGGGCACCTCAGAAGAGATGATGAAGTGTGCGGTGATTTGTCTCACGGAATCATTGATTACCAGCGAAATGCCGGATTCAGCCTTCCAGTTGGATGACAGACTTTATTTTCTGAGCAGATCGCTGCAGCGAACTAACGAAGAAATCGAGGGGAGGCTTTGTATGCATTTATGTGAGTAAAAGTTGGTGCGCAAACTGTACTGTATACTGGACAAAGCTCATGCTCCAAGGCCTTGGAGCAACTAACACAGATAAGTCAACCACATTATCTACCCTGTGAGTTTACACTGGCTTTCATAACAGTTGTTTATATAGCTCCAGATGCTAATGCTAACAAAGCTCTGCAGGAGCTTCATGATCTCTTCAGCTTGCTGCAAAGCAAAAACCCTGGGGCTCTTTACATAGTGGCTGGAGACTTTAATCACGTGAATCTAAAAGACTGCCCCCCAAGATTTTACCAGCATGGGACCATACCAACACGTGTGAACAACACGCTGGACCGTGTTTACACAAATGTAAAAGATGCATACAAAGCCGAACCCTGCCCCCACCTAGGACTATCTGATCACTTCTCAATCTTCCTGTCCCCTGCTTACCTGCCCCCACTGGGACGCTCCAGACCGGTACAAAAAAAAGTTAAATCTTGGATCCAGAACAGTAGCCCCAGACTGAGAGATTGTTTTGAACAAACAGACTGGGAGGTCTTCAGAGAAACTGCTGAAAATGGGGAGCACTAGAAATGGACCAATATGCATCCTCAGTTCTGAGGTACATTAGTACATGTACTGAAACCGTCTCCACCATAAGATATGTTAAAAGTTACCCAAACAGAAAACCATGGCTGAATGCAGACGTGCGCACACTGCTGGAAGCCAGGAACACTGCCTTCAGGTCTGCAAACTCACAAGAGCTGAGAAGGACAAGGAAAGAGCTGGTTGCTGGTATTAAGAGGGCCAAGGCTACATATACAAAGTACACAAAGGATCAAGGGTCAATTCCTTTCACAAGACCCACGGAGCATGTGGAGGGACATTAAGTGTATAAAAGACTATAAAGGCAGGAGTGAACAACGGCCTAGAGACCCATCACTGCCTGATGCCCTCAACAAGTTCTACGCATGCATTAAAGACTCAAACAGACCACCCAGCACCAGACTCACCTCACCATCGGATAAAGAGCTTCTCAGCGTGACCTCAGCAGAAGTCAGGAGTACTTTCAGGAGGATTAACCTTCACAAGACAACCGGCCCAAACAACATCCCCGGGAATAGGGCTGTATACCGAACCGAGGTTGTTTATGGTACCGACCGAACTGCGTATACAATCCAACAAGTTTCAGTCAAGTCATCTGGACAGTTTCTTTTTTTTTTTTTTTTTTTCTGAAACATTTCACCTTCCATCCAAAAGGCTTCATCAGTGAAGGAAACACAAAACTGATTCTTCCCCCAACCGCTTATTCCACAGTTTAACAAACCAGTTATGTTGGTGCTAAGATGGTCTCTTTAGCACACCCCCTCCTACGGTGCCGGCCCTCTTCCTCGTTGACAGTCATGTCAAACTGGTTCAAAACCAACAAAGTCCATGCTCAATAATCCAGGTATACAATCCAACAATTTTCAGTCAGGTCATTTGGATAGTTTCTTTTTTTTTTTGTGCTGTTGTCTCCGCTCCGTTCATTGTTCGGATGTGATCTTAAATTCCGGTAGATTTCTGTATTTAAACACACATGTAACGTACACAGAAATATATCACACAAAGAATTTTAAAACATTTATTAAAATATGCACAGACTTGGCTGCTTAGAGCACTTCTGCTCAGCTGAGCTCACATCTTGAACAACTGGAGGAGGGAGACAGCTTTTTTATATTTTTATTACTATTTTACTTTTGGGGGGGGGGGGGGGGGGGGGGGTGCGTTTGTTCATCAGAAGTCCACGACAATCTCCTTTGTCTTCTTCACATTGATGTGAAGGTTGTTCTTCTTGCACCAGCTCTCCATATGTTCCACCTCCTGCCTGTAACTGGACTCATCGTTGTTTGTGATGTATCCAACCACCATTGTATCCTCTGCAAATATGACAGCCTGGATGGGTAGGTGCACAATCATACGTGAGCAGAGTGAACAGGAGAGGGCTTAGCACACAGCCATGAGGGGAGCCAGTGCTGAGGGTTATGGTGGAGGAGGAGAAATTGTGGATCTTCACTGACTGTGCTCTGTTTGATAAGAAGTCTAGGACCCAGTTGCAAATGGAAGGGCTTAGTTCTAGTGTGAGTATTTTGTCCATCAGGATTTGAGGGATCATGGTGTTGAAGGCAGACGTGAAGTCCACAAAGAGCATACGGACGTAGGAGTCCTTCTGCTCCAGGTGAGTAAGAGCAGTGTGGACCACAGAGGAGATGGCGTCTTCTGTTGATGGATTCTCGTGGTATGCATACTAGTGAATGTCCTCGTTGATGATGATGGTTGTTTTGATGTGGGTCATGACCAGTCTTTCCAAGCATTTCAAAGTGCTACTAACACTGATACATTTTACCTCTAGGTTAGATTTATTGTTCTGGATGAAGTTTTACAAGACAGTAGCCTATGCTAGTTTATCTAAATGTTAGCTTGCTAACTTGAGAGGCATGTAGCTAATGACAAGCAGGTTGGAGAATTTATTATTGCCGTTTTATTTTACAGATCAGTTAAAATAAACTTACCATGCTCTGCTCAGCAAACTGTGCTACACAGTATTTAGCTGCTCCCTGCTTCGACTGTGCTAAAAGTGAAAGTTACAATGAACAGCCATGACTTGAAAGTAGTCCACATGCGCCCTCTCCCAGATACATTGTACAATTACACCTTTTGCAAGCAAGGACCCAGCTTGTTCCCAGCATTTTAGGGGTGAAAATTTGAAGTGTTTATTGGTGCACAATGGGACAATTATCACCAATACATGTCCCCAAACGCTTATATCGGCCAAAAATTTTGGCTCTGCTGACATATCAGTCGGGCTCTACTAAAAGTTTGGGAACCACTGTTCTGAAACAAAACTGCAAGTATATCTCACAAAAAATGATCCAACTCTGTTTGTCTGTTTTATAATAATAAATGTTTCTGAAACAAAAATGCACCATAGATGATAAAATTCAATAATGTTCAGTATATGACAGCCTGTCTCACCTGGACTGTTGTCTGCGGTGAAGTTGCTGCTGTTGCTGGGGGAGTTGGAGAGGTCAGACACCACCACGCTGATCCCAGCTGTGGGGCTGAGGCTTCCACCTCGTGATGATGACTCACTGCTCTCCGAGCCCAGAGACGTACTTGAGCGAGTGTCTGAAGATTTCCGCAACTTTCCCCTAAGAAAGAAGGTCCTCATCTTACTCCGCCGAACTTCACCCCCCTCGTCATCCTCGTAATCTTCCTCTCCTCCTCCATCACTTGGCAGTCTTTGGCGCATGCGGTATAGAGAGCCATGTCCAGTTTGGAGGACAGATGAAGAGGAGTCATCTTCACTGGATCTCCTCTTCCCCCTCATGCGCTCTTTCAACTTGCTGAAGGTAGAGGCTCCCTTGTCCTTCATGATGAGGTCATACATGCTGGCAGTCAGGTTGTTTTGGGTGAACTGGATGGTGACTTGGATGTCTCCTCTCTCTTTCTCCTTTTTTCCAGTCTTGGAGTTAAGCCTGTACCACCTGCAAAAACCATGGATCCATTAGAGATAAACAGACACACTGATACTTTGTCAAACAAAAATCACAGATTAATCGCCCTGGTTCAAATCCCGGCCGGGGGCCTTTCTGGATGGCGTTTGCATGTTCTCTCTGTGCATGCATTGGTTTTCTCTAGTTTCCTCCCACAGACCAAAAACATGCATGTTAGGCTGAATGGTAACTAAACTGTCCCTAGGTGTGAGTGAGAATGAACGGCTGTTTGTCTCATTTGTCTCTGTGTCCCTGTGATGGACTGGAGACCTGTCCAGGGCGTCCCCCGCCTCTCACTCAGCGATAGCTGGACATGGGCACCAGTGCCCCCCGTTACCCGAAAAGGAAGAAGCAGATAAAGATGATGGATGTATGGATATTTAAATCAAGCTCAAAGGCTGTACTGGTTTGGACTCGGCTACACAATCGACAGTTGTTTTACAATGTTTGAAGTTTCATTAAAATCCATCTATCCATGCGTTCATGAGATATTTTGCTGACAGAGTTGACTCCATTTAGGGAACATGTTTTAGCAAAGATCGTGTGCAACTCAGAATGTGTTGGAGATCATTCTCAGCTACTAAACCACCAAATTATAGGTCAATATCTGTAAAACTGACTGAGCTTGGCTAGTTTTTGAATTTTTTAAAGTTAGATGTTGAAGCCATCTTGAATTGGGTTGACTTCAAAAGCTAATCTGTTGTAGAGGTACATCCAGTGATGATTTTCTGCAAGTTTCATTAAAATATGCAAAGTACTTCTTGAGATATTTTTGTAACAGACAGACACAAGAAGTGCCTTCGCCTTTCAGAGTTTGGGAATAAATAACATTTCACAGCATATCATATTCTAAGAAAAGTCCAACTGTATTTAATTTAAAACTGTGTGGCTATAAGACTAATGCCACTCGGGGTCACAGTGGGAGTGTCGCCTGACCATGAAGCTCTAAACGGCTGCATGCAGCCTGACATCCAGCAACACCTCAGTGAAGCTCTATTGTTTAATGTTCCAGTCTGCACGAACAATGAAGACTTAATAAGCAAATGTTCTACATTAGTACAGAAAACAAGTCTAACTGTAAATGTGCTCGCACCGGGGAGGTGCGGTTCTTAGAAATGCTGCACACCCGTGGGTGGAGCAGTGCCAAGAAGCTCACTGCACTGTGAGTCCCAGGAAATACTCATCTGTTCTTAAAAGCTATTTAAAGATAATAAAAATTAGAATAAATGAGATGATTGAGGAAAAACTTCTGTAGAGAAAGTGCATTTCTGCAGTCAACAGGAAATTACCAACGCTGGAAGGAAAACAGAAAAATAGACTTGAAACCAAATTCTTGTTTTAGACTTTTGATTTCCTGTGCTGCTGAGTATTGTTCTCGCTACACCTCAACCACATTGCTTCTTTTGTGATGTGCCATGTGAGACACACATATGGCACACTTTTTTCAATAATACTTCAGTCAGTTTTCAAGTACAAGCACATTAAACAAGAGGTTTAAAAAGTACCCTTTCCTTGGCTTAGTTTGAACTAATAAATCATAGATGGAGTAGAATTTTTCTGCTAAACTTGAATCATTATATGCAACAAAACTGTGCCTTTCCTGATGAATGTGGCTGCATTCTACTGTGGTGAAACTGTGCATTATTGACCAAACAACAAAAAAAGATAAACTAAAAAGTTTGAAAAGCAGCCATGCTGCAGCTGAAACAACAGTCCCGTTCTGCTGAGTCAGCAAGTCAATTTAAACGTTACAAGCAACAGAAACAAAGACGTCTGAAGGTCGGAGATGGAACATAAAACTTCTACATGAAATAAAACTAACTACAGCAAACCCACTGATGTACAGACTGTTCAGACAGTTTCTTATTTCCAAAATCCCCTTTTTTACCACTGCAGCACACTGACAGGCAGAAAATGAAGAGTTGTGACACATTTTACATATAAGAACATTAACTTTTGGCTGTGTGGATTATCAGTGTTTTAAGGCATATTGCTTACTGCCTTTATTACCAGAGATTTTAAACTTAGACCTTCTTATCTTCAGAAATAATGGAGGTAGAATTGTTTGTCAGCTCTTAAAAATGACGTTCTAGGCAAACAAGCAATATTGTGAAATCTTGAATGATCTGTTAGAGCTCAAAGTATGACTCGCAGCTACTTACCGTATTTTCCGCACTATACGTCGCTCCGAAGTATAGGTTGCATCAGTCAAAAAAAGCATCATGAAGAGGAAAAAGACATATTTGTTGCTTCCAAGTATAAGTAGCATTTACTCTGAAATAGAGCTGTCATTTCTAACCCGGGTCCGAGGCCCGGCCGGGCTGGGCCAAGCCAAAATAATATGCTGGATGGGCAGGCCGGATTAGTGTCAGGTTTTTGATTGCATCATCAGACGCATGCAGCTGACGATCCAATGTGCTCAGATACACCTGGACTTATACCTGGACCTACCATTCTGTGTTCGTCTGTCTCTCCTTCCTGTCCTCTCAACCAGCCGGTCAAAGCAGATGGCCGCTTGTCCTGAGCCTAGTTCTGCTGGAGGTTTCTTCCTTTTAAAAGGGAGTTTTTCCTTTCCACTGTTGCCACTGTGCTTGCTCAGGATGGGAGACTGCATCCAAGCCAAGATTCATCTTGTCTGCTGGATTCCTTAGATAGAGAACTTTACTAATTGGCTTTTATGTATGTGAATGTTTCTGTAAAGTGCCCTGACATAACTTTGTTGTGATTTGGTGCTATATAAAAAAACTGAATAGAATTGAATTGAATCACGAGCCACGTGCAGTCGGTTGACCACACGCTGACCGAATGGTTGAAAGAGATTTTAAAAAGTTCAGTTAAGCATCAGCTGGATCACTGCCATTGATCCATCCAAGCCCAACTGGACTCAGCCGCTGCGTCAGTGGACATGCGCGGCCGAGCCCAGCCAGCTGAAAGAGGTAAAAAGAAAAGTCCAGCTGGATGGCTGCCAGCAACCCACCTGAAGCTTAACAGGACTCAGCTGCTGAATCAGCAGACGTGTGCGCCCGAGCCCGGCCAGTTGAAAGAGGTAAAAAAAAGTCCAGACTGCCAGCAATCTATCCAAGCCCAACTGGACTCATCTGCTGCATCAGCGGACGTGCACGGCCGACGACCCAATAGCCTAGAGGTTCCTCTCATGTCTCTAGTGGCTGCAATTGGTAATGTTTACTCTGGTTCATGTTGGTATGAATGAACATTTAAGGTGTCAGTCAAAATTGTGTCATGAATATGGAAAAAAAAAACATATAAGTCGCAGGAGCAGCAAAACTGTGAAAAAAACAGCGACTTTTAGTATGAAAAACACATCTAATTTCCGCTCAGCATGAATAAAGCAGTTTAAGGAAGAAATCTGATCTGTTCAGATTATTTGTCTATATCATGTTCAGTGCACGCAGCACGGTGGCGCAACTGGTAGAGCTGCTGCCTCTCAGCGAACAGGTCCCTGGTTCAAACCCCGGTCCAGGGGCCTTCTGGGTGGAGTTTGCATGTTCTCTCCGTGCATGCGTGGGTTTTCTCCGGGTACTCCGGTTTCCTCCCACAGACCAAAAACATGCATGTTAGGCTGATTGGTAACTCTGAATTGTCCCTAGGTGTGAGTAAGTGAGAGAGTGAATGGTTGTTTGTCTCGTTTGTCTCTATGTGGCCCTGTGATGGACCTAAGACCTGTCCAGGGTGTCCCCCGCCCCTCGCACAGTGATTGCTGGACATGGGCACCAGCGACCCCTGTGACCCAAAATGGAATAAACGGGTAAAGATAATGGATGGATGGATGTTCAGTGCACGAATAGAAAACATTAGAGCCAATAATCAAGAGGCTGAGTGCAACAGCTAGGTCTTAAAAGGATTAAATGTGTTGATGAAAGATTGAGTTTCAACAAAATGAAGATAACTAAAATGGACAAATTTAAGAATAATGCAGCCACCTTTCAATTTAAAAAATAACTCCTAGTAGAGACATGACAACTTGTTGAGACAACACCTACGGCCTAGGGGAAAAACAAACAAACAAAAAAAACAACTCTGTCCTAATGTACATTTCTGCCATCACAGTTTATTTTGAAAGGATTATAAAGTGGAAACTAGGTGAGCTCAGCTCTACTCCTTGATCCGTTGAATCAGAAAATGAAAGAATAAAAAGATTTCCAGCTAGACGAATTAGCAGCAGCCCACATCTCTTGTTACTAGTTTAATTTAGTTTAGTTTATTGTTTATTGTGATATGCAGGTCAACACAAAGTCAGCAATGCAATGAAATGGGGAGAGCGCAAGATGGCAGTGGATCGTTGAGATGTGTTTTGCTAAGCTCCGGTCAGCCCCACCTGAAAAACTGCCTTTTATATTTATATTCTCACCGCCTCTGCATTTGATTCTTCCTCTGAGAATGGTGTCGTCGCAGGATTGATTCGACGGAGCTGTTATATGGCCTCTAAATTAAAATAATCTAAGACAGCAGTTCTCCTGCCTGCGCAGTCTGGAGCTAATACTTCAGCCTCGGTCGGCGGTGAAGCTGCAGCTGTAGTTGGAACAAATACAGTAGGAGCGTCAGCCCCACCCTTGCCGGGCTCTGGAGTGATTGATGGTCAAGTCAGCTCTGAAGTCAGATATTCTGGCTTTAATTAAATCTGGTCACAACAATAATTACGATGGCAATGAAGGCGGCCCTTACAGACTATTTTAATTTTATTAGGAGCGAATTACAAGCAGTGAGAGTGGAGCTTGCTGTAAACACAGCAGCCCTCAGAGCAGAGTTTGACCAAGTCAAACTAAGTGTTACAGAAGCTGAAGACGGACTGTCTTTATGCTCATATGAGGTGGGGGCTCTGTGTGGGACTGTGGTGGAATTGAAGGATGAGGTGGATGGGCTGAGAAGAAGGCTTGAATCTGTGTAGGGGAGTATAAAATGGAACAATATTAGAATTATTGGAGTTCATGAGTTGCTGGGCTTGTGCACCCCTACAATGATTGCCAAAATGC